CATAATTTTATTGTTTGTAAGTGTAATTAGTATTCTTTGATCTGAGGGAGATGTCAAAAGGTTCTATAGAGTCTATGGTCTTCAAACAGGTAAGAGAAGGTAATATTTGCTTTAATTTTATGTTAAGAAATATGCATTTATATTTGATAGATTGTGAGATTGATGTTTGGTTGAACCTGTTACAAATTTAGATGATTGTTGAGTGATGTTTGTATCTTGATGAGTGAAGGTTTGTGTATTGATGAATTTTATTGTGTATGCTTGTGAGTTAATAATTGTTTGGACTTTGATGTCGCTAATTGGAATTTAATTAGATAGAAAAACTTATGTAGAAATGAAAGTAGTAAAAATGAGTGTTGTTGGACTAGTTATTGGTCTAATTTGGGGGTTTGATAGGTGGATTTCTAGAAGAGTGACTTGGGAGAGATAACTGATGTTTGGAGTCTATTTTTAGGATATCTAAAACTTTTCTAGAAACTTAGTTAACCAAAAATCTCATGTTAAATTGGGAAGTAGAAAATAGGTAGAGTTATATGTTAGTTTTAGTCTAAAAAGAGGATCTTGATAGGTGAAATTCTAAAGGGTTTAATGTAGGAGTAAGCTTGGTGTTTATAGTATGTCCTTAGGTGTTTTAAGACTTGTCTAGCCACTTTGTACACCAAAATATGATTTGTAACTTGAAAAATATGATATCTTGAGTTTTAAAGTGTGATTTTGATTTGGTGCAGCTTAATTTTGACCAAATAAAGAAAATGGTATTCAAATTTGGATATAAACATGTTCTTGAATCATTCCTAGTGTCAAGGATACCATTTTGTTTATTTGGATGGGGATTAGGTGCAACCAAATCCGAAAATCATATTGTTGTAAAAAACTAACAGAAATAATTGATTATCATACTTGATAATTGATTTTTTTAGTCAAAATTATATTTTTGCATATTAGTTCTCTAAAATAATCAATTATCAGACTTGATAATCTATTATTGTAATAGGTATTCTGATATAATTGATTATCAGGTCTGATAATCGATTATTTTAGTAGATATTATTTTATTTGCTTAAAACTCTATGGAATAATCGATTATCAGTCGATTATCATACCTGATAATCGATTATCTCATAAGAAAATGGATATTTATAGTTTGTGAATATGTTTATGTATGTGTTTATGGTGGATGAATGTGATGGTATGTATGATGCTTCATGAAATGAAATATTAAATATTAATATGTATGGTAGTTGTTCACACATGTATGATGTTTTGATGATGATGATTATTATGTCTTGATCATGTGCATGGTAGATGGATGTAATTCCATGACTCTCATGTAGAGATTTCACGGTAGTGTCATTATTGTAGGAGCTTATCCTTAAGGGTTATCTTGACAGTCTAATGGTCATTCATTCTCAAGTAAAGATTAATGAGACATAAGGTGAGAGTAGCAAGAGGTCCTAGTCTAGGAGATTTACCTCAGTCTAAGGTGTTAACGAACTAACCTTGTGTATGGTATGATAAAACCCATTGGCTCTCTAGAGCAGTCGAGGCCACAACAAGTGTAGAACACGGTATATCACAATCATAATTCATGGATGGTCAAGTCTAAAATCTATTTGTATGCTTGGGTTGTTTTGGTTTGAAAGTAAAATGTGTTGTATGCTAAATTGTAATTGCATGACTTGAATTTCTTTGATAATATTAGCTTACCATTTCTTCTTTGTGTTTGTTTGTCTGTTTTGTTTCTTCTCTTTTGCAATGATCACCTTAATAGTGTGAGTTTAAGGGATGACTTGGTGAGCAACTGTTGGGAGAAGAAGGAATTGAGGCCTAGAGTATGATGTCGTGTTTTAGTTTTGGAAGACCTATTACACTTTTGGTTATGTGTAATATCTCATAGTTGTGTACAATCTTGTATATCTTTTGCTATTATAAGTTATTTATGGATATATGTAATAACAACTTATAGGTTTTTTTTTTAGTTGACTGGTTTGTAATATTGAAGGTGTGACAAATCTCATGATAGTTGAATGTTATACAAATTGGGATGTTACATTATGATAAAAGATAAAATAGTTTATTAATTATTTTAAAAATATTTATTTAAAAAGTTATGATAAGATATCTAATGATTTATTAATTTAAAATATTTATTTTATTTAAAATATTTTTTTAGAATAAAATCATATATCAAATATAGAAGATTTTTTAAGAGATAAAATAGTTTTTTTAATTATATAATAAATTTGTTTTGTTTAAAAGATATTTTAAAAAATAAAATATTTGGTGAATAATTATTAAGATGTTAACAAATTCCATAAGAGATATAGAAAGTGGTTATTATATTATAAACGACTTTTATATATATATATATATATATATATATATATATATATGATGTTATTCTTTAAATAATTTTATTAATAAGATATAAGATTTATTATGTGTGTCATTATGGATATATACAATAAATATAAAACAATTTTCTAAGAGATAGAATAAGTAATAAAGATAGGGGAGATATATCCTAGAAGACAATTTTTATTTTTGAGAATGATATAAATATGAGAAGTGTGGAAGAGGATTAGAGTTTTTAGAAAAAATCTTTTTAAGTAGAACTTAAGAGAAGAATGAGAAATAATTGTCAAGATAAAGTAGAATGAATTAAAACAACATGAAAATTTTTAAGTAAATTTTATATTCAGAAAGGAGAACTAGCATTCTTATTTTCTTTCTTGATTGTATGTGTGTAGATATGACTAGTAGGATTATAAGAGGAGCTAGCTCTCTTTTTTTCTCTTGTATATAGTGTTGTTATTCATACTATCATTTTTTAGTGTTAAAACACAGTTGATTTGAGGAATGTATGAAGATTTTATATTTTAGATGTGTTTATAGTTTGTGATTTTGATGGATTTGGTGTAATTTAGAGTTTAATCGCTTATAGGTAAAAATTGGAATTTTGTATTGTTGCTTAAATATTTAAGGATGATATTATCTTACTTTTGGAACAAGATTAAGAAAAATTGGTTTAATTTAGTCAAGTGTAAGGTTCTAGGCATCCCCTTTTTTTTTTTTCGAACCTGAAAAATTTTCATTTCTCTTTCCTTCATTGTTGTATCAAATTAAAATTTAGAAAACTGATTTGTGGCATGTGGTTCTTCACTTTGACTATTAAGATTTTCGATTGCAGGGCTTGAGCTAGAAAAATAAGTCTCGCATAATTGTTCTATTTTAGATTTCTTTTTCTTGTTCTTCAAATTTAAGAGTATTATTGATTTGATTTATTGGCTGGTTGTAACCATTTATTGTGATTTTTATTCTCTTGTATCCATAGTTGATCTTAGTGAAACTTGATTGGTTGATTTGTGTTGTGAGTTTTCATTTCTCACATTGATAGGATTTTTTCACATTAAACAATAGTAGTGTTCTCTTTTGTAATTTATATGATTATTTGGAATTATGAATGTGTAGATTGAACTCATCAGCTGTGATCTTGATTATTAAATTTATTTGTAAAACTCTTTCGAAGAATTGTGGAGAGTGATTTTTGTCCATGAATCTTTATGAAAGAATAATAAAAATGTTAATCTCTACTTAATTAATTATACCGTGTGAAAAATGATGAATTTCATTTATAAGACTATTTGAAAGAAGAGTGAAAAGTAGAACCTATGTACTTTGTTCATTGTATTGAAAGTGGACTCTATCAATGAAATTTCTTAGAAAAATAATGGAAAGTGGACTTCACCTTAAGACTTTTAGTAACAATGAAAAGTAGACTCTATCCGTGAAATTATAGAAAGAAGAAAGAGTAAGCTACATGCTTGAGTTACTCTAAATGCGATTAGGAAAAGTATTTTAATCTGTTATGTGTATGTACAGGCGCACAACTATATACATAATACTAGTAAAATTATGCTAAGTTTTAGCTCTATAAACTTAAAATACACTTTAGAGCCTTTATAAATTCTTAAAATGATAATTGATAAATGAGAATAAAAGATTTATTAAAAAAAAAATACTATTTTATTATCTTTAAGATCAGTCTATATGGTAAAATCATTCTATATGGAAAAAAGTTCAGCCCATCTTATTTTTTTTATTTAAGAAAACTATATAAATGTTCTCAACAATATTTTTTTTGTCTGTTTCTCTTTTTAAATTACAGTGAAGGCTGAACATATGATTGACTTGATTGATTGTATTGGATCAATAATATGATTAATCAAGTTGATCTGATTCAATTTTTTAATTTTGTAATATATATATATATATATATATATATATATATATATATATATATATATATATATATATAATATTGGTTTCTTAATCTTGTTTATAAAACCGCATTAGGCAATTTTTATATTAAAGATTTCAATACTTTATTGTAATGAAATCATCAAATTTAAATTACAAAATTACATTGTATTGAAGTATTTCAGATATATTTTCAACCTTTTTTATTAAATAAATTTAAACTTAAGTTAAAAATACCAAAATTGTTTTATGTATATTAATATACATTGTATCATCCAATGAGTAACCCAACAAACCGATCACATAAGGTAATGATGGACCCAAACAACGATGAAAAGACTATGTTGTCTAATGTATAATAAATAAAAGAAATAAAATTATGAAAATAAAGTTAAACTTCGAGATTATATGTAGAGTAAACTCAGTAGTGTTGGCATCAATACACTTCAAAATACAAATATGGAAAGGTAAGTTAGAAACATAAAATGAGTTATTATCCATAACTTTTCCACTAAGTTTCAATTGTATGAACGGAATGCAAAAATATACAAATGAGAATTTTCATTGACGATAAAATAATGCCAAATTACATGATAAAACAGGAACTCTTGCATCATAATTGATTTTCTTTTCGACCAAGAATTTCCTCCCTCGAATCTTATACCCCACCCCAAAGTGGAAACTATCATAAATTAAGGAATAAGAAAATTTTACAGTTGCAAAAGGACTTGAGAAGAATATGAGACGACATAACTCAGAAAGATTAAATTACCTTCCAAAACACTATTTTACAATGAAGGCTACTTTTTGAATCTTATGTCAAATATACAAAGGAAAAATCGACAAACTGAGATCCACTTCAAGCTCTTCTCATGTCTTGCCTTCGTCCATCTCCAAAAACCTCTTCTATCATGTTGCATGTTGGTAAAAAGTCAATCTTATTCTTAGAGCATGACACAAAGCCAGTATCCCACACTTTTGCATCACAAGGCTCCAAAACATATCCTTGGTTGTAACCATTGCTTACTCCATTATAGTTACCACACCAATGATCCCCATTTTCCGTATTCACCTTAGTCTGCCGTGAGGCAACTCCTGCGTCGGAAGAAGTGCATGAATCATCTTTAACTTTTTCATCACACGAATCCTGCCAAACAGGTTGATCCTGAGGTTGAATTAGAGGGGAACCACCAGAGTGAGGCATCTCTTCTACAGGATCGTATTTGGAATCATCATCAATGTTCCTACTAGTAATAAAATCCACTGTTTCATTAGCTTCACAGGGTTCATCAGCAGCATACTCATCATAGGTTTGCAAATCATTATCTTGGCAGTCAGCCATACAAGACTCATCTTGACATACCGGGGACTCAGCAACAGAGTCCTCATCTTCCTCTCGAGTTGCAATATCATTGCTGTCACTACCTTGCCATTCATCATTATCACTGTCAATGTTTAATAGGTCATTCCTGTTCTGTTCTGCCCTCCTTCGAAGCATAAAGACATTAAAGTAGTAACTCACTATTTCCTTTTTGGTTCGTGAAGGAAAAGCAATAGAAAGATAGTTCCAGAAATTCTTGTCAAGGGATGCTGGATTATTGAAAACAACCTCATGAAATAATTGCTCATCCTCAGCACTCCATTTTTCTGCCACTTGTTCTCCCATGTTAGTGAAGCCCAATTCAGTGAATTTCTCAGGCCCAAAGGTTTTTACAAGTTTATCTCTTTCTTCTGCAATATGTTGTCTAACACATCTCATGGATCCCTGATCTTCACAGTCACACTCAGTTCTTCCCTTGCCAACTTCATCGTCATTACTAGATAATTCCATTTGAGGCAAGGGAATGACACAGGTCCCCAACAGTCTTTCCTCAGTTTCTTCCCTGTCCCCAACAGTAAAGTCTGTATCTGAAACAGAAGCTGAGGCATTTGATCTATTACTGGCCCCCAAAAAATCCCAAGCTGGAACATCGGCTTGATGATTAGCTCCAACAGATACAGGTTTGCGAGGAGAGTGTTCCAGAAGTATGGAATAAATGTCCTCATAGCGAGTCAGTGTCCTTATTGGTCGCTCTGGACTAAAATACTCTGGAAAAAGGGCAAGATGTAAGGGTGGTTCTAGATGGAGATCATCAGCTGTGCTACTAGTGGCCCATGAAGAAGCAGGAATATCTATAACAGGAAAGCTTGTTTCAGAGTTCCCAGCCTCTATAGCAAGTTCACCAAAACTTCCACTTTCGACCTTCTCAACACCTTCACTACTAACTTGTGTACAGCCATCCTCTACAAGTTATAATGCAGTCATATCAAAATGTATTCGGTGAAATCTAAAATAAAAACTAAAAGGCATTATTAGAAAAAAACCCAAAACAGTCCTTCAATTCTCCCATTTCCTGGTTCAAGCAGTAATAGATGAATGATACTAAATTTTAAACTACCACACAATAAACAATAAAACATATTGACAATACTCTCTATCCTACTAGGAAATATAATGAAATCACCCAAAAAATGTGGGACAAAAGATATAAAAATTAAGAAAGTTGAATAACTATAAACTCTGAAGCTCAAACATGTATTGTAAACGGGTTCACTAATAGAGTGGAGTTGAGCTACAGTATTATCTCAAGTTACTAAAGCAATAGCTTGAAACTCGTGAAAATGCTCATTTTTTAATTTCAAATATACAGCTGATGCTCAATATTGGAGAGACCATCAACTAAACACCCACCCGAAGGTTTTGGCATTTGGGTATGGTAATCATCATCGGGAAAGACAGATTCTGATAATGAAAAGAGCTCATGGCTGGGTCCTGCATGTTTTGGGTGTTTGAAAGATCCCTCAAGTATTTCATCAGCATCAAAAGAACGCTTCTGCACCATGATTACCTGCAGGCTAGGATTCAACAAAGAATAAGACAACAGATATTAATCAGAATAAAAGCTTATAACAACCAGAAAAATAGGCCAAAAAGATCATGATGTAACCATTTACAATGAGGGATGATGCATGCAATATAACATTGAATATTTTTAAACAAAAACAAGGTCAAAACTGTTACTAAACATTAAATTAAACATCTTCAACATATATCAGTAATTGACACTGACCATGGAAACTCATCATGCTTAAATACTAAAATTAATTCAGAACTTCATTCACCAGTAGGTTGTACTGTGTTAAAAACAAATGACCTGTACACAATTGCTGGCTGCAAAATCAAATGACAAAAACATATTGTAGAATGCTTCTCCAAATAAAAAATCCAGGTCTACTTAACAAATATTTAATAGCAATAAGACATCGTACAACAACAACAACATTGCAAGGCGTAAATAGAACACTAGATGTTGAACCCCGGTCCTGAATAAGAATGCCTTGTATTTAAATCACTGTAACTACAATTTATATCACACATTCGTAAAAGCCTAGTGGCCCTAGTAACCAACGCAACATTTACTTGAACAATCAGAGCCCAGTGAACACCATTGACAATTGCAACATTTAGGGACAAATCGGTATACTGACATTATTTACTCCAAAAACACAAACTCAGACCACTGACAAAATTTTGACTAGAAAAATAAAAATAAATTGCCACCTTATAAATGCATGAAATTTCCATAACATGCAAACACAAACAATAATTGTTACCAATAATAAAAATAACAACAATAATAATTTATCTATCATACCTTACACCAGTCTCCTTCAAATTATATGCAGGGCTGAATCGGACAATTGAGAGCTCTAATTGAACGTAATCAAACAGGAGAATCCTAATTGTTCAAGGAATCGAAGTTTCCCTAAAGGAATTAAGCAAAACAACAAAAAGCCCCAATTTGAGAAAACCCTAACCCTAGATCTTTCCAAATCCAGCTAGAACGACGGACAAGTATTACGATTCGAACCGAACCGAATTACCCGACACAAGATCTAACAACCCAGACCAGGTTTCAGAAGGATCGCACCCAAATCAAACATGCGTCGAAAATAATTTACAAAAACCGCAGAAAACGAACGAGGCAACAAAGACCCAGAACCCAAATCGAATAGAAAAATTTCCCCTTCCAGATCCCGTAAGGTGAAAAACAGATCCAGAATATTCCTCCACGGAAACCCTAAAAACGGATCCCGTCAAGCGATAAGGCCAAAATTGGGACCGGTAGGCGCAGAAAATGAAGAAATAGGCGAAGGGCGGGTCGATTGGAGGGATGGCGGCAAAATTGGGGGAGGAATCGAGGGAGAAAGGAAAAGAAATCAAGATCGGAAAAAAAATGCGGCTAAAGACGAAAACGGAAAAGCTAGGGTTAACTTTTTTTTTTTTTGTTTGGTGCGGGAAAGGAATAAAAGGAAGAAACGACACCGTATGGTTGTGTGTGAATTATAGGAAATACCCCTGGTGTTTGTTTGGTTTGCGTTTGAGGTGTGAGGGATGCGAGTGCGGTATATATGGGACAGTGTGGGAACGAGTTTGAGGGTAGATTCCGAATCATAATTATCATTGCTCAAGCCTCATCTGACACGTGGCATTCTCTCAAAGGATCATTTGTGTTTTCTTTTCTGACTTTCCCTTTTATGGGCCAACGTGAATTTTGTGGGTGGGGGAATCTGGGGACAATAATCAAAGGGCCCTTTTTTTATTTTTTTATTTTTTATTTTTATTTTTAACTTATATATAAAACAAATATTTTATATTTATTCTCTTCTTCTTCATTTTTAACACCGCCCTATCATTCATATTTTTAATTGTAGTTGTTTTTGTTTTGCACACGACACTTGTATATTTCTTTTGGGCCTTTTTTTTATTTTAAGAAAAAAATTATGTTTGTATTTATCAGAATTTTATTACCTTTATTTATACACAATTAATTCTACATCTAGAATCATGTTTTTCAACATGAAAAATGCCGTAAAATGAAAAATAGGTTTCATATGTTTTTTTTTCTTTTTGTCTTTTTATGATGAAAGGTTCTAATGTTGAATATTTAGTACGGAAAGAGAAAGAGTGAAAAGAAGGATGTTGACAAGGGAGGGATAATAGAAACAAGAACAATGAAATTTGAAACCATGAAGGGTAATGTAGTTATTAGAAAGTGGGTTTTAAGCCTAACTCAACCTCACAAAACCGATTTGTAAGGTCAGATTTGCACCTCACTTATATATTATAAATTGGCCTTATCTCTAGTTGATGTGGGACTTCCAACACACCCCTTCACAGTGAGGTATAGACATCTCGTGCGTGATAGTAGAAATTAATGGGTGGTCCGATAGCGGTCCGACAACGGGTGGAAAAAAAATGCTCACTTAGAACTCTTTATGATAGGCTCTAACCATGGCTCTGATACCATATTTGTTGTTTGCTGGGCAAATTGTACCACCCGCTAAGTCCCACATCGACTAGAGATAATGCCAAATTATAATATATAAGGGGTGCAAACCTCACCTTACAAGCCGATTTTGTGGGGTTGAGTTAGGCTTAAAAAATCACTTTCTAACATGGTATCAGAGCCATGGTTGGAGCCTATCTTAGCGATATTTCTTGTTTCTTGGGCATTTCTATTCCACCCGCTATCGGGCCGTTATTGGACCACCCAATTTCTACTATCACGCACGAGATGTTTATACCTCAACGTGAAGGGGGTGTGTTGGAAGTCTCACATCGACTAGAGATAAGGTCAAATTATAATATATAAGGGGTGCAAACCTCACCTTACAAGCCGGCTTTGTGAGGTTGAGTTAGGCTTAAAAACCCACTTTCTAATATGGTATCAGAGCCATGGTTAGAGTCTATCCTAGCGAGTTCTAAGTGGATATTCTATTCCTCTATTTCACCCGTTATCAGGTCATTATCGAACCACCCAATTTCTACTATCACGTACGAGATGTCTATACCTCGGCGTGAAGGGGGTGTGTTGGAAGTCCAACATCAACTAGAGATAAGGCCAAATTATAATATATAAGTGAGGTGGAAACCTCACCTTACAAGCCGGTTTTGTGGGTTATGTCTTATTGTAGAACAAGCAATAGAATTCTCAGAAGTAATAGCAACTGGTGAATCAAGGGGTGTGGGTGCAGGAACTATCATGACATACAAGCCATCTCTTTCTTCAGCTTTCCCAATCATCTACAGGGTTGACTTGTACTGTATTTCATAGGAAAATTCAGAAATGTTAAGTTTACAAGATAGAGATTTAGTTAACTTTGTGACCGAAATAAGATTGACAGAAAAATTAGGAATAAACAAGACATTATGTAAAGTAAGGTGTGGGCTAAGTGAAACTGTGCCAGAAAAATGAGCAAATGAAGAATTCTTGTTGGGTAGTGATACTGTAATTGGTGAGATTCTATGATAAGAAATAAAATGAGACAAAGAATTGGATATATGATCAGTAGCACCTGTGTCTAGAATCCATTGGGAATAGATATTACCTTGAGCCTGAGAAGAAGTGGAAGCATTATGAGAGCTCACTAGATTGGTAGAATGTGGGACTGTGGGATTAGATTGAGGAAGAAGTGCCAATAGACCATGAATTTGCTCTTGAGAAAGTCCCAAAAGAGTCCACAATGTTATAATAGATTCTTCTACAGTAGTTCCTTCTTATAATAATTCTTCGACACAGTCACTTTCCTCAACTCTGGGATGAACTTTGCAATTTTCGCCCTATTCTTGAATGTCAATCTTCTGCTTCTTGTTGTGTTTTTTCTAAGACAATGAAGGAATATCGTGAAAATGATTGTGTTCTTTGTTTTCTTATAGGCTTGAATGATAATTACTCTGTTGTTCGCTCTCAGATCCTTCTCATGGATCCCTTGCCTTCTTTACCCAAAAATTTTTTCGATCATAATTCAACATGATCAACAATTATAATTAGGAATTCTTTCTCAACCTCCAGTCATGGCGTCACAAGTTTCTCAATCTAAACCTTCTTTTTCTACCTTCAATGGCAAAGGTAAACCATCTCCTTCCAATGATTATGGCCGGGGAAGATCTTCATATCAAGGTTCCAAGGCTCGTTCCTCAGGGGGAAGGTTTGGTGCACCTCGACAATGCACTCACTGTGGCAGGACAAACCACACAATTGATACTTGCTTTCTAATACATGGATTATCACCTGATATCAAATCTAAAATAGTCCATTTCTAATATGGTATCAAAGACATGGTTAGAGCCTATCCTAGTGAGTTCTAAGTGGGCATTTATGTTTCTATTCCACCCGCTATCGGGCCGCTATCGAACCACCCAATTTCTATTATCACGCATGAGATGTCTATACCTCGGCGTAAAGGGGGTGTGTTGGAAGTCCCACGTCGACTAGAGATAAGGTCAATTCATAGTTTATAAGTCGGTGCAAACCTCACCCTACAAGCCGGTTTTGTGGGGTTGAGTTAGGCTTAAACCCCACAAATATGGCATTTGTTCACACACACATAAATTAAATATGGTTTTGGTCCTTAAATTATCAAGCGATTTTGGTTTTCGTCTCTCTACCAAACATTGATCCATTTTCACCCATGTTCTTTTAGAAAGACTCAAATTTAGTCCTTCATGACCAATGCCATTAATTTTTTCTGACTTGACTAACAGTGTATGACATCCTCAAGACATGTGTGCGTTTCAAATAAAAAATATGTTTTATTTTCCACTTCATCTTTTTCTTCTTTCTAAACCAAGGCTTATCCCCCGCACATTACCACCCAGCATCTAAGCTCACATATAAGTGTCCCTTCTCTACCTCCATTGCCCAACATGCATCACCAATCCTCCCACACAACCAACCCTTCACTCTTGGCTCTTAAAATCTTCACACCAACACTACTCTCAACTTAAATCAAATTCATCTTCTTCCTGAATCAATTCACCTTCATGACATATCTAATCAAACACATCATTATCACAAATCAGAAAGCAATAGGGAGTCAATAGAAAAAGGGGGAAGCGGTGTTGCGGTGGTCACTAGTGGCACTAGCGACGCTCTTGTTTATAAGTGGGGGAAGCAATAACTTTCTAAGACCTTGAAAAATAGTTATATTTAAGAAGATATTTTTTTTAGAAAAATTTGTATTATGCTATAGTAAAATATCTTTACAACTACAAAAAAAAATACGTACGATGCTACAGTTAAAATACATACAATGCGATAGTAAAAATACCTCATAAAACATGTGTTGCTGCAATAAAAATGTAGTATTACTATAGTAACCCTAACTTCTACTATAAATAAGATGAGAAAATGAAGTTTTTCATGAAGAAAGTAAAAGTGAGCAAGGGTTTAGTAGCAAATAAGAAGATTTTAGGGCTAGAATCTGAGTTATATAGAAGGTAGAAAGAGCTTCTAAAGTGGTGCTCTTCATCCAGGAAGAAAAGAGAATCAAGTAAGAGGAGCTAACATTTCTCAATTCTTATTTTGTAATAAGCATTGATGGTCTAATATTGTTGTGGTGTAAAGGGAATTATTCGTACTATTGTTTTTCTATGTGAACTTAGGTGATGTAAATTGTATGTGATCTTGTATTGAATATGTGAATGTGTAAATGTTAATATTGTAAGTAGGTGTTAATTATTTTTTATTATCCTATGTTCTTTGTTGGATTGATGCCTTGGGATGATAATAATGTAAAATTTGTGAAAGTTAGTTGGAGAACACTTTGGCTAAGGAAAGAAAATGTACTTAAGTTGTCAATTGAGACACACCCTCGTTTTCCTGTAAGTTTACTCAACAAGCTTTCACTTTATTTCAAAAGTGAAAAATAAGTTTTTTATGTTAAAATAATTAACAATGTGAATTTCAAATAAACTATGATTATTATTCTGAATATGTGAGCTATAAAGATATTGGGATATATACTTAGTCCAATTGTGAAGTTTAGGTTTCTTTGATTATGTTTTCCTTATTTTTCTATTTTCTAAGTTACCTTAGTAAAATCTTAATTCTCACTTAGTCTACCGTTAGATCAACCCGAAAATTTTATATATGAATCATAAGACATAGTAATTTACTTTGACCGTCATGATTTTTAATTTGAGGTCAATACCTAGAGGAAGAAATTTCGTAATTTTGATTAAAATAACCATAACTTTATTTCTATCTTTAAGTTACCTCGTTAAAATTTCAATCCCCACTTCGTTTATCGTTAGATTAAGTTGAAATATTAATTTATGATTCTTTATATATATTACTATACTTTGACCACCTGAATTTTTATAATTGGATGTTTGTACTTAGAGAAATTAATTTCTCATTTTGATAGAGCTTGAAATCACTAGAATACTTTCCTCGAGTTGTTTGGGTAAAATCTCACTTTCTACCAAATCAACCGTTAGATTAATCTGAAATTTGAATTTATAGTTCCTACGACATATTGATTCACCTTGATCGTTCAGATTTTTTATTAAATATTTATGGAAATTATGTCGTGTTTATTAAGGATCTCAACACGGCCTAAATTATTTTTTTGGACCACTAATGCAAAATTTAAGATTTTCACTTTAGTAACTGTAAGATCAAAATGAAAATTTTACCATAGATTCTAGATATATTGTGATTTAATTTACCCGTTCAAATCTTCAATGTGAGACATGTACTAGGAATAAACTTCTATGTAACGTGATAATAATTTAGATTCTTGATCCATAACCTTCGATTGGTAAAATTATGTTGAGGTTGTACTTGTTATGAGTAAGTTAAGATTATAAGAAGAGTATGATATTTATCTTGTCAATAGGTATATGTATGATTTATTTATTATAAATTTTGGGTATTGACATGTTTGCGTGATGGAAATGGGTTATTACCAATTTATGATTAATGAATGAATATGATTGAGTTAGGTGGATGAGATGATATGATTAATTGATTTTGTATAATGCTAAGTGAATATAAGGAATTGTGAGCTATGAAATGAGTATAAGTCTTTATTATCGTAATTGTACATTCGAGAGTAGTACGTTTGATTTCCACTATGGGGCTTTTAGTTTAAGTAGAGTGACCCAAGAGGCTTATGAAAGCGGACAAAGAGTGGTTTGATCATAAAGCTTCAGAGAGGAAAGTATAATATAGTTGTAAGGCTTAAGGAAGCAGGCATAGAGTGGTTTGACCATAAGACTTTAAGAGTAAGCATGATATACTTGTAGGGAGTATGGAAACAAGAAGGATAACTTTGAGAGGAGTCACAAGAGGATATGTTACGAAAAATAAAAGATATAATAAAGTGAATTAATAGCATCGAAATAATTGTATGTATAAATTATAATGATATATGATTGAATATAGGGTGAATGTGTTTAATGATTGTATGGTTAGGTCACTCTTATTTGTTTGTGCAATGATCGTATAACTCGTGTTGTTATACATAAGCATATGATGTTGTAGATGCAGTCAGACATGCTAGAGACTAGAGATATGTTGGGAAAAAATTTTCGGGACTTTTTGATAAAAATAAATTTGTATCCGAAAACTGTGTTGTTTAAGATTTGTAAATCTGTATTCATGTTAACTTGTGAAGACTGTGTTTAAGGTTTGTAAGTTTAAGATTATACTTATGTTAAATCAAAAATAAAGTTTTAATTATGGATATCAGATGTTAAATTTAAAATTTTGTTTTACTACTCGTAATATCCTATAGAAATTTGGGGTGTTACAACAGTGTTTCGTCGAAGGATGAAAAACAAATCTAGAGAATGGATGTTGCATGTTGTGTTTGCAATCTAGAGGAAAACAAGGGAAACACTCACATAGAAAGAGGAAAGTTTAGCGCTAGTGATACATTTGGTGTTGTTGGTGCTGACAACAATGAGGTTGTGCGACGACTATAGTAGGTAACAACAATATTTTTTGTCCCCCATTGTCGGTCACAATTTAGAGATAGAGAGAAGATGTGAAGCTGCCATGAATGGGAGGAAGCTCTTCCTCGTGAGAGAAAAAGAGGTGGAGGTTTAATAGACTAGGCCATTCATTGTTGTTTTAACCTCAATTATTGTTTTCCACTACTATTTTTGTTTGATTTTTATCTGTTGTTGAACATTCATTTCGTGCACCCACATATTCTGTTATACCCGAATATTATTGTTGAATGTCAACAACGTTGTCCAACACTTCATACAGCACAACAACTGTGAACATTTGCGACAAGATTGGTTTCATGTGGGCCATAAATGTAGGATAATGGTACTCGAAATGGAAGAAGTGGAGAGTTGGGATAGGTGAAGAAGAAGATGAAATGGAAAATAAAATATATTTTTTAAATTAAATAATTTTCCACCTCTCATGTTGATATGCATTATCATTAGTCATTTCAAAGAAAACATTAGTTGTTTCTCATTAATAGTTGATTTCATAAATTTTGAAAGGATAAGAAGCTAACTAAATCAAACTTTGAAAGAAGAAATAAAACTAAAATTGCTTAATAGTTAATGGACAAAAACATGATTAATCCTATATATATCCCATTGCCTCTTGTAACACCCACCATGAAAATTAAGAATATTTCTCCTTTTGTTTTTGAAATATTCCTAAAAAAATCCTAACTAAGTTTCTTTATAAACTTAGTGAGTTTAATAATATTTAATTTTTCATTGAAAAATTTCCTACAAGATGGAAAAATGACATGATTTGTCTTTTAGAAAAATTGTCATATAGATGAAATTTTTTCAAAATTTATGTTTTGTTGTTTAACAGCAATTGATCAAAATTTTAAGATATGTTGAATTGAATCATATTCTAAAAGTATTGCTTGCAATTCATCGTTTACTATTGTAAGACTAAATATAGCACACATTCATATGCCAATTGATTAGTTGTTTCATGTTCATTATTCAGGGTAAGGCTGAAGCAAATTTTGATGAAGCATGAAACTGTGGCTTTTTCTTCCTACAACCCCACAACTTCTTTACGGACCCCCATTTTCAAAATGGCCATTATCCTTCATAAAATCATGTTCTAGAAATTTTTCAGAATAAGCTTTCCAGAATTTCAAAATATGATTTTTGAAACAGAATTTCTTAGAATAAGGTTTTCGTGAATGGAATTTTCGAAATGAATTTCTTGAACGAATTTGCAAAACCAGTTTTCCAAAATGTATCTAGAACAATTTTTTTGGAACAATATTTCTTGAACAACTTTTCCAAAATGTTTATAATACCTTTTGCGATGATTATTTCAAAATGAATTTTCCAGAATAAATTTTCCAATATACATGAAAAATATGTTTCAGAAATAACTTCTCAAAAGTTTTTTTCGGCAACGCATTCTTTCTCTTTTTCCTCTGCGGCGGCAGAGCACACAACATCTATGGTTTGGTAAAATGAAATAGGATATATGTGAGTACGGGGTACGTTTAGTAATGATTGGGTGTAGGAAGCACAATCCAACTTTGTGGTATGTTTATTGAGAAAGATGATCAGGAGGTTTCTTCTTGCACCCCTATTTTCTTCATTGACCCCATATTCCTATTGAGATGTCTTAGGTACCCTTCATTAACAAATTATTTTAAACCCTGGTATTTTCACATCTTTCTCCGTCCAATTTGACAGCAGAGGCGTCGCACCTCCTTCCTTAAACCCCTTGCATTTCCTTAAAGAAATTTGTGCCATCCGGAAATAATTTTTTTAAAACAAATCGGAATAGCATTAAAGAAAAGTATTTTTAAATTTAGAAATATTTTTCAAAACACTCAATCCAAAATATAAAAATATTTTTCTGAAAAAGAGTGTATCGAAAAACATTTCCATATCCAAAAATATCTTGAAATACTCATTTAACAAGCTCGAAAGCATTTGCTGTGTGAAATACTCATTTAACAAGCACGAAAGCATTCACCACAGCAAGCCTTCACATAATGTAAATTACAATATTTTTTTCCTGTGACTTCATTGTCAAAGTAGAAGAATCTTATTATTCTTTACCCAGTCACCAAAACATTCGAATAAGGTTATTAAATTCGAGAATTTACGTAAACTCATGAGAAGATGAGAAGAAAGTAAACTCAACTCAGTAAGAATTTACTTCAAATAAAAAAATTATATAAATAATATCTTAATTCAAATAAGACTACAAAATTATATAACTTTAAATAAATAAAATTTATAATTATATTGTTCATAAAAATAAATATTGTAAAACATAAATACTTGGATTATTGTCACTAATTTTGATGCATCTCATTAAATATATAACTTTCAAACTCGCACAATCACTCCAAACTCGCGATTATACACGATCTTACCGATTTCACAGTTGATTCTATTGAGTTTACGCAGATAACGAGTTAACTCGGAAAGTTGGAAAACGAGTTAACTCGAGAGTTTGATAACTTGAAGCAAACATGGATCAATGACAATTTCCCAAAGGCTCACTTAATTATTTTTCGTAGATCATTAACAGTAAGAAGCCTTATAATTCAGAGGCATTATTAGATGAGACAATTTTTATTCTTGGCAAAAAAGAAAGCAAACAACATCTTCAACACTATATCGAAGGAATAGTATTACTTTTGTTGTTGAAGCTATTATATTTGCAGGCAAACAAGGAACTGGCGCAGGATAATGACACAAAGAATCACATACAATGTGACAGGAATATCAACACACTTGTTTCATATGTGAAAGAAAAGGCATGAGTAAAAAACCAAGTATTCCAAACCAAATCCAAAAGCTCCTCCTCATTGTTAGTGGTCTCAGCAAGCCTGACCACATCATAAATCAACACCCTCATCAAGACCTTTTGAACCGATCATCACATTTGAATCAATTTGTTTGTCAAACTTCTTTTTCCTCCTTGCTTCAAACTCTTGAAACCCCTCCATCTAGATCATTCATCAATCGTTCAATTGTATTGAAAATTAAACCTATGATTCTATCATTGAAAAGGTAAAAAGTACGAAACAAGATCATACCTGTTGCAATTGATCCATTGATATAGGATTACCATGCAGTGATATGTTCTGAAGAGCTTTGCAATCTTTCAATAAATTCCGAGGAGCCTGTCCGAAATGAAACCAAAGCGTCATCAAGACATTTGAAATATAAGGAAACTGGCTATAGTATAAATTTTTTACGCTTGGGCTTTCAAGAGGCAAACAAAAATATTCAAATGCGAATGAATTATAAACAAAAAAAAATGGAAAAGGTATCATTGTGTAAAAATAGTTTATTACCTACAAGATGGACAACTATGATGCCATAGTCCAAACCCACCAACTTAAATTCTAGTTAGTATGGCATATGTAATTCAAAGTCAAAACTACTATTTAGCAGCTACCGTTAAAAATTATCTGTAGAATTTAACAAGTATGGTTAAAAAAATGCTACATTTCCGAATATCAACTTGGCAATTGTTAGTCGACCACTTGATCGGCTCTAAATAGTTCTCATAATAATGAATAACTTCTCATGCATATCCGTGGGAATGAAGCTGGATATTCCTAATATTGAAGTAAACCCTTAAGCAAACCAATGCAAAAGAGAAACAGGAACAAGCCTACCTCTCATCGATTTTACACATCCTTCCAACTACATAAAAAATATTATTGTACAACATACATACATATATAAACATACATACATATATAAACACACATGTATAGTTTTGAGCGATCCTGGTCATAACCTCAATTTTAACTACCTTCATTACTGCTTAATAGTTTT